AAATTAAAACATTCATTTAATGCATTGGTGTAATGAATTTTTAAACATGTAATATTTTATTACATCACAACATTTAATATTTTTTTATTGTTCTGGTGTAACCGAGTACCTAAAAATAATACATAAGTATATTTACCATTAAGCTTTTTGAGTTCATCAGTTAATTACATTTTGTACCAAACTACATTATTATTACAGGTAAAATATATAATACAATAAATACACGCTCCGGGAAACTTTATGGGTACATTCGGTTATAAACTTATATCTCTCAAACCGTCACCACTCATCAAAGTTCTAACCTAAATATAAAATGTATAAATTATTTATTATAATTATTAATACGACGAAACTATATCAAAATAAATAAAATAAATGAAAATGTCTCGTTCTTTTCAATATCTGTGAAAATATAGATTTATTTGATTATTATGTATATTGTCGTTGAGAAGATAAAAAAAAATAAAAATATTACGATTGATAATATTTAATATTTTATTAACGTGACAAAATTTACGAAAATGTTAACAAAGTTCATGCTTCATATTCGTCATTATTATAATAAACACAATTCGAATTCGATGCACTTCAAAAAACAGGTTTAGGTATAGCGTTTATAATTTACCTTCAATATTATCATAATATTGTTGTAACCCAAAAATGACCCACGACAGTGATGTACCCATATTGCCTATCCATATAGCCGTGTTACTAAAAGTTTATTATTAAAATCATAAAATGTAGAAAAATAATATTAATATCTAACGACTATATTATTAAAATATGTATTTATGTAGTGATGTTGGCTTCAATTTAGATTGTGATGGTACTAAATTAATGAAGTGTCAATAAAACATATTGTTTACCAGTTGATCCTACGTGGCGTTTTCCACGACAAATTAAATTCCCGTTAATTTACATTTTAAACTCCGTTAAATACAAGCTGAACGGATTTTTAACACGGTGGTTTGAGTTATTTTGATAAATTATAAATACAAGTCTAATATTATATCTAATCTCGATAACAATTTTATTTTCTCTACCAATAGAAACAATTTGTAAATAAAAAAATTCAATTCTTCGTGTGTTAACTATGTATATTAAACAAAAGTAAATTATAACAAAAATTAAAAAGTAATAAAAAGAAGCCTATGGCACACTGATCTTGTTGAAGCTATTGAATACTTTATGAAATTCGAGTCAAAAACTGTGAATGTGGTTAAAAGGGTCGTCCGTTTTAGATCTTTGATTTTATATAGTAGATACAATATATTTTATTAATAAAAGCTGATCCTACACGGCGTTGCCCGTGAAAAAATAAATAATGCCAGTGAATTTACTTAGCCTTAAACTCCGTCAAATATAATAAACTACACATATTTTATACACAGTTATTATGTAGGTTTTGATCGAATATAAAATATAGGTCTAAAATTATATCCAATTAATTATATTATTATATATTTGGTTTTTCAATCCAACGATTAGATATAACAAATGGTTTTGTCCATTTTTCCCCATTGTTTTCCATATCCCTAAGTATTAAGTTCATAGTAGGATGTAACTCATCTCTCATCAGTCGCATCCTTCATTATTTGGTAAATGTGTCTTGTTCTGAAGGGTCTTCTTCTAAATGATTAAGATTTAATCGCATTCCTTCAATCATTCCTTCGGATATTAAACTGTATATTTTGCTTCATGCCTTATCATCCGCAATCTAATTTTCTTTAGTGTATCTATTAATTTACGTTTTCCTTCAATTATCTGTAACTGTAAGATGTTTTCGTTTGTGCTTCTTTCAGTCCAACATATTATCCTTTGCGTATTTCTCAAACGCCAATTTCGACTCAAATTAATAAACATTAAATATTACCCATAACTTTTTATCATAATATTAAAGTTATATCACCCGATTTCGTCCGAAATAAAACGATTAAATATAAAGTACGGCACACAGGCAAGTTGAGATCGGCCGCTGTATATCGATCGCTTGTATTGTGGACAAATGCAATAGATTAAATATAACATCAGCTGGTGTACTCATATGACGATTTAAATGCAATTAATTCACGAGCATATTAATTTAAGTCGTCATTGATCTCGTAGATAAAATTTTTAATAAGTCGCTGAAAACCAGACAGATAGCGCTACAAGTATATAAAATTTCTTAGATCAAATTTTACTGAGACAGTGTCGAGTCATTAAGACTATTAACTAATAAGTAATAAGTAATAACTACACTTAAAACCAGGCTACTCCATAGTAGTATTTGTAGCATACTTTAAAAATTAAAAAAAAAAACTCATTTCTTATAAATGTATATCATATAAGAGTATACAACAAATGTTAATATTACTTAATTTTTATTTGTATAATAGTTCCAATATTGACATAAGTCACCATTTAAGCATTTTAAATAAAAAATACCTAATTCTAGCCTTGTACCAATTTATGTTGGTCATTATTTACTAGGTGTTAAACTAAATGTGATGTTTTGATCAAAAATTAATTCAAACTACCACAATAAATTTTTATTTCTTATTTTTTAATAGAAAAATAAATAACTTAAAACCATATTAATATACTAGATGTTATGTATAAGTTTGGAAATGTAATTACTATATTTATATTTTAATACCTACGTCCTACATAGATCAATAACAGATAACGCTGTTTCGCATTTATAATGTAAAATATTTAATTATCTCATTAGTTACTTATATCATTTTGTTGTTTTCAGCCCCCTCCTATTCAGTCTAATGGCCATTTCCGAACTTATAAAACACCCTGTACATTAAAATATTCTTAATTATAAAGACCGACAAACAGCGTCCGCTTAGAATCATTTTTCGTAAATGCAATCATGTATTTTTAAACCCAAATTTAACACATCCGTTACAGTGATCTACTCAATGAAGAGGTGCAATCGATATATAGATACTTACAACTGTACTCAGTGTAACGACTTTAGGGGTTTTTCTTTTCACAAAATTCAAATCGGTATAGAATACGAATACTATGCATATTTAACAAGTATACAATCAGCTTTGTCACATCACAAACACTGGAACTGGATAGACGTTTGCCTATATTATATTAAATATAAAGAACGACGGGTTTAAATTTCCTGCCCCACCCGAATCACCATCATATAACCAATATCAATATTACACTCTTTCCTACCAGTATCTCAGTATAAAGATCACGCGTGTACGTCACATACATACGAGTTAACAATTGTATTGTCGTTGCGTCGAGTGTGCTCATGCTAACCGGAAAAGAAATGACGCATCGAATTGCGTACGTGTGAGTGATGTGTGACCGTCTCATCCCACCATTATTCGACCACAACGACATATTGTGTAGCCATAATAATAAATTGAACACGTTTTTTGTTTAGCGACCGATCGCGAGATATATACTAAATTATTTTTTTTACCTCTCCCCCTCCACCACCGAAAATTATTTTATTAAGTATGTACTAATACACCAATATAGACGTTGTCGCGCCCACCGACTAGATTAAGTGACAAGAAATCATGACCATTTTTTCTTAATAATTTATTATCCGTGGAAACAACACAAAACCTGAAAATAATAATTATTTTAATCACAATCATATTATAGAGGTAGTTATTTATAGTTTTCTGAACATCAGCTATCTGCTAATAAAACAATGTACAGCAGCAGTTAGTAAAATGTCTCAATCACTCGTCATCCTAAATATGTTACTTAGCTATACCAGCTACGCGTTTTTTTATAATATAAATTAATTTACGTTAAAGACTTTCACTTGACAAAAGGTCATATGAAAGTATGAAATACGAAACATAATATATAAATCCATACATCATAATCATAAACATTTGTACTCATCAAAATACATAACAATTAAATGACATGTTGATAATTATTAATCAGTCATTTAAATAAGGTACAAATGCATTGATTAAATATTGAATAATTTTCAATAGACAATTATTCATAAACAATAACACTTCATCAATTTGAGTTATGTGATACAAACAATAAAACTAAAAAGCCAGTTAAAAATAAATATTTTATTTAACCAATGTGACATCAAGATGATCCATAACATCTAGAACATTATTATATAAAGTATTTCTAGACTCGTCTATTTTATTAAGTTAATTGAACAACCATTTGAAACTTTAAACATTGCACCTGTAGTTTACAACAATTATTAAAGAGGTTGACAATATATACAATATAAGTAAGTCTTTTTATCTAAACATTTTGATTGTATAAATAATTATAATTATCTGAACGTCATATTATTCTTCTTCATTCAAAGCAAAGAAAAGAGTTCAACATCCATAAGCAATTGAAAGTACAATTTTAACTATACAATTATTTTATACTTTTGCAAGTTCAAAAACACAAAAAAAGGTTTTGAGGCATTTGAGTTGTTGTTCATTTAACATTGTATTAAAATTAATTGGTCTACAAATCAGTAATTATAAAAAAATAGAAATACAATTAAGCGTAAAAAAAGTTAGTTTAAAAAAATATCTGTTAGGTCTACTTTTAAAATTATTTTCGGCAGACAACAATTTACCTATTTCCGTAAATGGATACAATTTTTAATTTTTGGTTTATTAGCCTACCTACACATAATGTGGTAAAATATTATTTTCATATTATGGCTGTATTTATTTTAAATGTTAATAATAATTATTAATTAAAATGTATCTTAATAGTATTATTAATCATCAAATAAGTAACTGATGTTACAAGTGAATATTACGTTTAAGAAAAAAAATATAATAATTAACATAAAATGATACATAAAGAGGATTGACAAAATAAAAATTAAAAATAAAAATAAATTGGGTTGTTATTATAATAAACAAAAACAACCACAAATAATTATGGCGTATAAAAAACCTATTTATTTATTATTCAATGAATGCACATATTTTCTTGTAAAATATAAAATAAATTATTTATATATATATTTATAGATTAGTAAAAACAAAATAATTATTATTTCATTATTGTATCCATGCTAAATCATGATTTTAATTGTTTTATCTTAAATATTTTTATGACATAATTGTCGCACCTGTTTATTTATCCGCAGCCTTACAATATAACACACTTCCTCTTTTTAACTGGTTCAGGAGGCTCTAAAGCTGCAAGAATAGCTTCATCAAATACATTTTTTAGTCCTTTCTGTAAACAATAAAAGATATGTGTTATAACTAACAAATAAAATCTCAAATATGTTATTTAGAAATATAAAATGATAAATTAAAATAATACATCAGACATTGCATATAATAATAATTTTTAGAATGTAAAAATAATTAAAATTGTAACACAAAAGAAATTAAATTACTAAATTAGCTTTTTTATCATTAATAATTGAGTTTCACAAATGCATACATCTATTTAATCTTATCATGTATTATCTTTGGAATGTAAACAATTTTTTTTAATTATAAGTTCCTCAAAACTATTAAATTCTAAGAAATATATTACGGGTAACTTCATAAGCATTCATCATCAGCCATGTTATGTTAGTCATAAATGATTATTAGATAAAGTGTATTAATATAGTAAACGTACAATAAATTATTTTATGCACTCACATGCATATTTAAAAAATGTATTTTATGATTCTGGCATTTTTTTTTTTATTAAAAATGTTTTATATTTTACCAAAATCAACTGTTTTAATTCCAAAAATACCTACATAATGATTACTCTAATTTTCATTCTAAAAAATATTGTAATTGTCTGTAGCATTAAAAACATAACCTGAGAAAATGTTATAAATTATTTTTGTTGATTAACGATTTTTTTTTTTTTATATTATTAATAAAATATTATTTTCAAACTGTGTTGGAATAGCACAATAAACAGGTAAAATAATCACACATTTTAACTGTGAGGTAATAGTATGAGGGTGGCCAATCAATTATGGATTAACTATCTTAAATTTAAATTTTTAAGTCACATTTATTATGATTCAAAGTATAAAAATACAAAAATTCTCTTGATCTTTCCCTGTAAATATTATTAAGAAAATAAATTTTTTTTTTTTAATTAAAATTGGAATAGAATTGCGTACAATTGAAATTAGAATAAATAGTTTCTGAAAATGATGCCATCTAAAATATTAAACATCAATCAATTTATATAAAAAAAAAACTGGATAATAATTAATTCTGATAAAGTTACAGACCACAATATAATGAGTTTAAAGTTCTAACTAAATAAATAACTCAACTCATAGAAAATTAATTTTATTAAATTTATCTAATAATTATAGTTCTTAACTTTTTTTAATAATTCTGAGTCTTAATCACATATATATGTAGAAAAACTTCCCTTGACACCATATAGTGTAGTTGTTTGATTACTATAGATAACACTATTTTAAAGCCATTTTAAAATTATTATTTAAATTGTAATTCAAATTAATAATAAATTCTAAACAAACTAAAAATACTGATTATTTAAATTAAACCATAGTACGTACACACCCCATTTTTATTTCAATTTTAATAATTTATCAATGTTTGTTTTTATCTATTATTTTTATACAAATATAAATATAACAATTATTATTAATAATAAATAAAAATTGACTTCTAAATACAGTTAAAAACTATTATAGATCATTTTTATCTCCACTAAAAACTGAATCTTTACTAAATATCAAACATAATTCTGGTAACTAAAAATGTCCAATACTCAAAGGTTTGATTGGTAATTTTTTTTACTATTATATTACATGTAATCTTTAAAAATCAAATTCCTATAAATATCAAAATTAATTGTACTAACTTGTGTAAGTGCTGAGCATTCAACATATTTCACAGCTTTAAGTTCTTTAGCTAGCTTCTCTCCTTGTTCAAATGATATTGATTTTTGTTTATTTTTGGCTAATTTCTCCACAGTTGTGGCATCTTCTCTAAGGTCTATTTGTGTACCAACCAACAGGAATGGTGTTTTTTGACAGTGATGTGTTATCTCTGGAACCCACTAAAATATCCATATAGGTTATTATCAATTAACAACTAAGATATACTAAAATATTTCTTACTTTTTCTTTGACATTTTCAAATGAAGATGGTGATACCACAGAGAAACAAACAAGAAACACATCAGTTTGTGGATAACTCAGAGGTCTGAGGCGATCATAATCTTCCTGACCTAAAATGTATTGAATAAGCATAAAAAATTAGTTAGAGTACATAAAACTGAAAATTTCTATTTAAATATTTAAACATTATTTTACCTGCTGTATCAAATAAACCTAATGTGTATGGCTCCCCACCAATCATAACTGTCACCGCATAATTGTCAAAAACCTTAAATAAAAATGTTATTGATAAGTATACACCGTTTGATACATGCACATATGATAACATAATTATCTATATAGATATTGAATTTGTCATTGTTGGTGGGTAATACACTAATATTATACCCAAAGCATATAAAATAATATAACAATTGTTTGGGGACAACTGTTTATTTCTATAATTAATATAAAAAATACTCATGCAAAATAAAATTCAATAAAAGAATATATTAACAAGAGATAAATGTATGAATAAATAATATCAAATCAAACAACATATTAAGATAAAAAGTTTAAAGGTTATATAATCATCGCAGTATATTAGATACCTAATTATAGGAATTAAGCTGTAGTTTATTTCTTTTAAATATTTATTCATCATATAATAACTTTAATTTAATTTACTCTTATGAGAAATAGATACCTAAATCAAAATATATACAATTTATCATGTATATAAAGCATAGCACATTAAGTATTATTTGTTTTTATATTATTTATGTATGCTACCTTTAATTAATGTATACATAACACAATTTAATGTACACATGCTTATTAAAAAAATAATGATAGGTGCATAAAAAGTAATATTTTATTTACAATTTACTATTATTGGTTTTTTTTTTATTACCTACACATAATTTAGTAGATTAACTATTTGAAATGAATTTGTTTTAAACCTTTAGAAAAAATCTAATATATTTTTAATTCTTGTGTATACAATTAAACACAAAATCAATAAATAAAAATATGATAGTTATGGATTATACTTAACCAAACATAAATAATATAGTAGATTAATATTAAAATAATTAGTACGTACAGTCGGTACATATTCTGAAGGAAACTTGTTTGTTGTGTAAGATATGAGCAGACAAGTCTTACCAACAGCTCCATCACCAACAACAACGCACTTGATGGTCTGCATGTTGCTGCTATGGAATTACTCCTACTTGAACACTGAAATAAAACGAATATTGTTACAACGGGCTAATGGATAAAGTGCATAATCTGTATACACATTATAATTAAACATAAACCAACTGTAGGCACATTTCACGAAACGATGATACAGAACAAAATCATTATAGATGGTATTCATTCTATGATTAATAATATAATTAGTATTTTCTACGAGTATTCTCGGTTACCTGGTGAGTAAGCAGCACAGAGCACTAGATAAGTGTTCTCGCTGGTCGTAATCGCACACGAACGCTGCCTGCAGCGATCTTCAACCTGTGTACGGAATGTACCCGACAGATTTACACACACGGACCGACGCCGGTAGAAAAAAACGGCAAAACACAAGAGAACGAAAAAATAAAAACGAAAATATACAACAAAAACACAAAATCGTCTGCGAGACGCACGGGTACTACTACGCTACATGTAATTCGGCTTGGCCGGCGCGTACTGCGGGTGTAGGTGGGCGGGGAGAGGACGAATTAAAAAAAAAAAAAAACAAAAAACAAAAAACACTGCGCACGTACAGAAAAACCGCTAAAAAAGACGTCGACAAATTTTGCGTATACCTAAAAGCCAGACGATCTCGTACGCAGCACTTTTACTGGTGTAGTGTGCCGTGTGTGACGGAATAACAAAAAATTTCGGGCGTCAACACACACACACACACACACACTCACTCCGACACTGAACACGCACACTCTCACACGCGCACGCACGCAAACCACATACGGGATACGGATGGAATTCTCGTACCACGTTGCCGCACTGTGCGAACCGTGGAGGTTGTGCGACTTGTGCGTCGTCGTCGGATCCCGAGCTGGTCTGAACGGGACAAACCGTGTACCGCGGACAGTTCTCCCGGCGGCGCGGGAGCGGTTGACGGAGATAATAACTTGATAACTGATAAGGATATCGTGACAAATATTGTAACATATTATTATTTTTAATTCGATTTATGCCGGTCGCAAAAGCAAAATATAGATAGATGTTCGGTTGATAATTATTAATTATTATCAACGCTGGGCGGCGTCTTGGCCTCAGATCGTGTAGCGCGTGAATGTGACCTAAGGTCTCAGCTAATGGTCCTTGCCGGAACGGAATTTTGACACGTCGAAAACAGATTTAATGAGCTTTAATAAAATATTCAAAAACAAAAATCTCAGCTTAACGAACTGATTAGTTTTTACTTTTTACACTTTCTTAATGGTGATTGGTAGTTTTAATAATGAAATATAATTCAAGGTAAGATATTTAGGTATGATGATATCATTGTTTATGTACATAGTACACACACGTACAAATTATGAGTTTTTCCTATTTAGATGTGCGATTTAAAAACTTATTCTGAGTTTTCAAAGGCTTTCCGAATAGCGTAGGTACCTACTGTATAAAATAAAAATCTTCTAACAAATTTGCATTATTTTATGTAGATGTTAAACTATATTTTATATTATTATAATTTAAGCAATTCCATTTTAAATTTTATTTTTTTCTCATTACGATTGAATTAAAAATAAATATTCATAGTACGATAAAGTATTTGATTTTAAATGCAGATACTTTGGAAAGTATTTAAAAATATTAAATTATAACTGATACAAATTAAATTATTATTTAAATAATGCCATATTCTACGCTTGCTAATTTGATTGATTTTTATACTGTGTATTTTCTTCCAATTACTCATAAACATATCTCATCCTAGAAAAAGAAACCTCCGAAGACCATAACAAATAATTTATATATTATAGTAATATTAGTAGGTATTATGTTCATAGTTCATCTGTTTGTGGCACATTTTAGTATGACATTTTTAAAGCTTAGCGGGGAATATCTCAATAAAAACTATCTATTTTACTACATTACAAAAAATCTTAATAGTTATTACTAATTCTCAAAAACGATAATGTAATATGTATATTGTAATTATTGTATAATATAACATTACATATTTTGTATGTTGACAACAATGACAATATCTTTTCAAATTTTATAAATTTCAAAATATTTATTGTATTAAAGTGTGACTAACATGTGTGATACATGTTAGTCACACTGTAATTTATTGTTTTTTTTTTCATCAATTTGATAACAAAAAACAATTTGAAATTTTGATTATTTAATATTTATCATTTAGTAATTACTACTTAATTAAAAATATTGTGATATAGCCATAGGTAATTTAAATTTAACTTTCAAGTTAAAACAGTTGTTAAATTAAATTGCGTTATTATTTTATAAGGTTTTCTGTGAAAATTTTTCAGTCATTATTTTCAATTTTTATGTAAAACATGAATTTATCAAAAAATTATCGCTTATTAGTTTACTTAGTAAACAAGGAAAATTTTGCAAAACTAGCCCCCCCCCCTTTAAAGTCGATTTAAAACTGAATAAAAAATAATTTTTTTTACAAATGTAGCTTGTATATTTATAAAAATCTCATAGAAAATCACATTCTATTTATGATTGTTTGCTTGAATCAATAAAATAATTAATCTAATGTGCAGATGGCTAAGCTTCAATGAATTTATATATATAATTTAATTGCTTTTTGTTTTGTATAATTCAATTATAGTAATACCAACTTCATGTACAAGTTAAAGTAAAATTTTTATGTACATATATTATCTATAACTATTTGTATAACACCAATTGAACACTAGATGACACTCAAAACTGTAGGAAATATCTAACTGTTATGTTTTATTTTACATTATTTTTTAATTAAATATTAAAATAGTAAAGTTCTCATCTGTTTTTAAATAAACTTTGATTATTTTCAAAATTTGATTTCATAACCTTCCATAATAATTGTACTTACTTTTTTTGGTTTTTTGTTGTTCCTCTCACAATAAAATTGTTATAAAAACCAAAGTCCTTTAGTCTCAGATATAGTAGTTATGAATTAAGTGTAGGTTACCATGGTTAAAAATGACAGGAATATTTGATATTTTAAGTTGATTATTTAGTAGGTGAAAACATCATTACACGTTTATAAGTTAAACTGCATACAGACTTTCAACAATAAAGTGCACACAGTGAATCATCCTAATTTTTCTAACTCACATTAAAAATAAAATCTAAAATTTATTTTGGTAATTAAGGTATATTTACCCCAATTAATGTATAGACAATTTAATCAAAACATTGAGCACATCCCGTGCACACGCCAACTTTGAAGATTTTTGGAAATTATTAATTTAATTATTGATAGGTAGTAAATATTAAATAATGAATCATTAAACAACTATTTTTTTTATTTCATAAATAACAATTTATATACAGTATAAAAATATAATTAATAATATTGTGCATTTGTTAATTTTTTTTTTTTTTTTAAATTTGAAACAAATAACTCACTAATTACAATACAACACAATTATTTTTGATGGTTCACTTATGCGTGTAGTTGCTATATAGAAAAGAGTTGGTAAAGGAATGAGTAACAATAAAGCATAGTCAAGTGGTGGATTTTCCAATTGAGTTATGGCAACAATACCAAATCCATGACTGACCCAATGTACAGCTACAATCAGTATGTTTCTTGGCACACATACAGTATTCACGATTAAATGCTTTGCAGACTGTTGAATTGAAAATAACATTATTTACTATTTTAATGAAATAGTTTATGTATAATACCTGATTTATTTCCGTAGCAAAATGAATTGCACTAGATATCACAGAAACAACAATAACAATATAAGGAAAAGTAACATCTATTAAAAAAAAAAATAAATAGATATTAATTTATATAACATATTTAAAATAAAATATTTCTAAAAATACTTACAAACAATACCTCCTAGGAACGCATGAATTAAAGCTGCTATAGGAAAAAAATATAGTCCAGCATATATAGTTTTTAAATAGGCCCCTCTGTTAAGACTGAAATAAGCAGAGAGCAAAGGTCGTATTGTGAGCAAAACAATTATACAAGCTAAATAAAAAATAAAAATCATCGAATATCTGAAAATTGATTACCAAAAATAAATAATAGGTACAATAATTTAAAATCAATAATACAAAATATAAATAAAACATACAATGGATACACAGCTTCTTGAGTGCATCTTAATGATTCACGGTAATCTGGGGTTGGATTATACAAAACTGTATACCAATCAGATAGCCATTGTGTACGACATGATTGAATCTTTAGTTGTCCAACAGGATCAACAACTAGAACTGCTAAAGCCGCTGCAATAAATATTTCCAATATTGCAGATATATTTAAGACAATTTTTGTTTTGGTTTTTTTCTGAGAATTTCCACTGCAATTAAAATTTAATGATTAGTTAGGTAGTCAAAATATTAAATATTAAAAGCAACAAAATTAAAACCATTTAATAAAACAAAACAATAAATTCAAATATAAATACTTTTTTCCTTTGAAAGCCCACAATATTGATGACAAAGACAGATCTATGTACACAGCATGGAATAATAAAGGCACAGTTGCCATGAATAGGAGATACATATAATCATATGGCGATGGTGAATCTGTGCATGGTTGACAAATATGAAATGAATTTACTTTTGTACCAGATGGACATGAGCCACAATCGCTCGTACGTCCATTGCCCAAATCTCGTCGACCGCAATAGTAACCTGGACATCTCAGTTCGAGTATGTGGTCAATATTATTATGATTCTAAGAAAACATAATCAAGACCCATTGACTATTAATGCATATTTCATATTTTGTTATATTATTTAACTATAGATTTAACTCACATTTAGAAAATGTTGGTAATAATCTCCCATTACAGTAAATTAGAGTTGGCACAGATTTTATATGATTTTGTTATACCTAAAAGCATAAACATAAAAAAATTATATTAAAATATATAGGTAAGTATATGAGATATTATAAGCAATATAGTTAAGAGGAGGGAAGGGATTATATAAATCAAAAAATTATTTATCAGAAATATTTATTTAAACCGAGTTTTGAACGGAATGTTATTTCCAAAGAATGATATAATTTAGGAGTGTTTAACGATCATACAGGATTTCTTGAATTGGTATTTACTGTAACAATTATTAATAGCAGTTCAGTAGTAGACAAATGTATGATTGGTAAAAAAGGGCAACAGTGTAAAAATATAAAATTAAATTGATTAGTACTTACATTAACCCGATCTAAATTTATTAGTTGTGTCAACCTGTAGTACTAATTATTCACCTGTATATCAACACAGTCCATCGTTCATCCAAAAATGACATCGACCATTAAACTGTATGCTGAGTCACAAAATAAAACCGTTCAGAACAACACTATTTAATGTTTTTAAAAACAATAGTATCCAAGAAATTCGAAGCGATATATTATGTAAAAAATACACTGTAAATTAAATAATATAAACACTAACAACATTCATCTTTGACATCAAAATAATTCGATGGCGATTTCGGATAATATTCGATTAATTCAATCTGTCTTTATTTAAATCTTAACTGAATAATTATTTTGAGTTAATTCGTAACTCGTGACTTGACTTGTATTATAAAACACAAATATTTTATTATAATTTATAATAATAAAAAAATTTAATAAATGGAAACGATGGAATATCAGAATCAGTGATTTCAATAACATAGAATTATTCTGTGATAATAACAAAATGTTGATAACATTATCTATAGTATTGAATTTGTGTACTGTATACAGCTGGTATAGTATTAACATGTCATTACACAGAACCATAGCTCCATACCTTTTTATGCTTAACAAAATTCCTTAGAGAAAATTACATACAATTACATAATTGTTATTAACTGCAGCAACATAATTCTGTAATGTATTGCAAAACACATATTACATAAAATTATTTTATTCTTGACACTTTTGTAGATAGATAATTTTGACATGGACATGTCAACCTTTTAACTTACGACTCTGGGTTAAGTACAGAACATAATTTTGGATTAGACATTATTTAGTCTTATATGTTGTAAAACAAAGCAAATAGAATACAAAGTGTCATAGATGTTGTATTCTTAATAGTATAAAATAATTACATAATAATTAATACAAACATAACAATTTGAATTTATTACAGTTTGAATGTAATTAGACAAAAAGCTTTCTTTAATAAATACTTGTTCCAAAGAAAATATTAGTTTGTAATACTATTAAATTTGTCTAATTTTTTTTTTTGTAAGAAAGTATATTGACTTAAATCATATTCAAATGTATAAATTATGTAAAAAAAAATTTTACTTGCATGCCTAATTTATACTTAACATAGCAACTAAATACAAAAAAAAAAAACATTTAAATATTACAAAATAAAATAAGTTATAGTCCAGGTAGGGATGAGGAATCAGAATTAACAAAACTATCAAGATTGTCGAGTATATCATAGTTAATTTTTGATGATAGTTTTTTCTTTTTCAAAACCCGTTCCACAGCTTCAGCTGCTGTCTTTGCTGGTGTCCGTAATGAATTTTTGGCTTTTTTTTCTTTAGCTCTAATAACCTTTGGGTTCTTTGCTCTTTCTTCTCTACTTAATTGCATTTTCCTAAAAGCAGTACCATGCATTTTCATCCACATGTTTCTCTTGATTTGATGGCTTTCCTTAGACAGAATATAAGAATCAATCTCATCTTCATCTATTATAACATCACATAGTGATTCTTCTTCATCATCATCTTCATAAGACCGTTTATTTTCAGATAAACCCATAATTTCTAACGAAGGTCCTACATTAACGGGTTGTTTACAACTACCTCCAGGTTCAGAAGAAGATGCTGTTGCTGCAATTTCTACCAAATTGATACCTAAAACTGTAGTATTTTTTTTCTTACTTAGTTCTTTTTCAATTGCAGTTTTTACTTCGTCAATCACTTTTTCACTATCGTTTGCTTCAAAAAACTTATCTATACGCTCCTTATCTCTAGCACGAGCTACCCGATAGGACGGAGGATCATGTGTTTCTTCTAAATCAACAGTCATAAACTCTTCTATTGATAACATACTAGAAGGTGTATCTTTGAACTCTAGTAATCGTTTCTTCAAAGTGGCATGGTGACAGTGAACAACTTTAATAATGTCATCAGTAGTGCGGTTAAAATCATGCATACGCCCTGAAATCAATAAAGCTGCACCACATAAACTAGATGGTCTTCGACCTAAAATATAAAACAAGAGATTAGATATAATTATTTAAATATATTATTGGTCTTGAGAATGAAATTACCTGTATGAATTGAGTCCCTCATCATTCTTTGTAGTAATCGCATTGCTGTTGTGTACACAATATGGGTCTTATCACCAAAATCTAGAGAATTAACAAAACGCATGAGGAAAATACTAGGATCAAGACTAGGCACTGTTAGAGTCAATGTTTGCATCATTCTCAGGTATGTCTTTCCAAGTTCAAATGCATTAACTTCACTAGCATCAGCTACATCTAATAACATGTGCATAGTGCCTTCCATACGGCATGCTATATAAACAGACGCTGCATAAATTAAAGCATTTTTTCTTCCTCGTGTAAAATGTCTTTTTAATGCCATATTGTAATAAACACAAGCGTTTTCCAAAGTTTGAGGACTAAGGTTGAGACTGTTACTTAATACTTGAATACCACGCCTAGCTTTGGCTTGAGTCATTTCTCGAGACGGTTGCTTCATGCCATGATGGAAAGCGCTGCCAAAGTTGTGAAAATTAGCAGCTTGAGAATCAGAAGATAAAAACTGTCCAACAGCACGAGATCCATGGTCAGTTTCTTCGAATTGGACTTCAGAGACAATATGTGATTCGTCCATGACACCACCACAATCCATACATACTGTCGGTCCATCACTGGAATCAAGGTTCAGAGAACCACAATCTGAACACTTCATGACTGCTGCTTTAAATCTAATTATTAAAAAATTATAAAATAACTGTTAGTAAACAAACAAAAAATGTAATTTAACAAGAATTTAATGCAAACAAATAAAATAGCCATGTAAATCACTAATTGCATACCTATTATTTATTTTTAACAAAACATAACCCAGGTAAGGTTGAGTGTGGGTTTAAACTTCTAGTATAAAATAATCAATATGGCTATTTAACTATACATCACTGACAATAAACAGAAATGACTACTAGAAAAATTGAAAACATTCAGTTTAATATGTATGAGTTGATAAATGTGTAGAATAGATGTGAAAAAATGACAGAACTAATCCAATCGAGAATTGAGACTATACTTAGACTATGAAGATCTTTAATGAAAGTGACGAAAGCTAAACTTTGATATTCAGTTCATTAACATAATGTAGAATACCCACTACCCAGTAAGCACAGGTGAGACTGGTTGGTGCGAGTAGAAATATTTATTGCCAATTTTTGAAATCAAACATAGGTATTAGGTATATCAAAACCAATGAATAAAAAATAATAAATCATATTATTTATTATTATTATCATAAAGTGTCATGTCTATAACCACACATGTGTATAAGGAACTACAACATACAATAATACACGTGACACGATATCGTCAATGATGTAAATCGAATACGAGTCACGAACTTTCATGTCGAAAACATTATACGAAATGCAAAAATTTAAAACTGATAAGACTTCACAAATCACAATACTGCTGTCTGGGTCAAGTGTGGGGATTAAAAGAATTAAAAAAATTACTTACTAATCAGTAATTTCACGTTCTAGATTACGTAGGAACACAATACATTGACCACTGCCAAACTACCACCATATAATAGAGATCAAGTAGACTGCTGAATGGTGAGTAGTGAGTACTGACTGTTAACTTGCAAATGCTCAATGACGAATGCTATTAGACATTAGTAATAAGTAATAACTAATAACTGATCAACTGACGTCGAAAACTCGAAAATATTATAAAATAAATAATCACTAATCAGGGATATTATACCTCATAAAAATATATTATCTATTTTGTGATATTACGTGTGTTTACTGTTTACATCCAGCAGCTGTACACGGGGCTTAAATATTATTCCTGTATGATATCTACGACTTTCCGTGTAGAATACGATTTGTATATATAAACTATATATCATGTGTAATATAGTTGACCGCGTTATCAGTTTTTGAGCGGGAAAAACGCGGTGCTCCAAATGAATTGGGAATATTATGCAGTTCATTGTTTTCGTAAAATGTGAAATGTTATACTGTATAATTAATATTGTTTGATTATAATTTATGATATTAAATAATATAGGTACTATTTTGAAGTATTAATAGTATTATACTTTTTCAATCAGTTCAATTTCAATCGTTACCTGTGGTTCCGTATTTCTGTCATTTTGAATTTCCGAACTTGAATTTGAAAAAACTAAATTTCAAATTGTACATAACGCAATACAACTAATACAAGTGATAATACATGGTATTACGCTGATGTTGATTGTTATATTTTAATAAAGTATTCATTAATTAATTGTTATTTAAAAGTCATTAAAATATTATACGTTCAAAATTTCATTAATGTTTATTTTTTCGTTTATTGACTAGTAGCAGCCAGCAGGTTATTATATTTATAATACCTATGTAATAAAATTTGTACTTATTTTTTCGTATTGGAATTGAAAGATTGAATGTAAAAAGAAAATGTGTGGCCGAACTGCTTGGTGAGTAATTTATCTTTATAATTGTCATTTACAATTATGGAATGATGATATCACTTTATAAAATATATTTACTTGAAATAATTCAAAATAAATTTACTTCCTTAAAATTTAAATTTGTGTCTAGAATATTACTTATGATTTAATTTTTCATAAATTATATTTTCATTGATTCTCAAGCACTTGCTAACTGTAGACTGACAACAATGATTTGATTCTTGACTTAAGTATTACGACACACTATATCAGAAGTATCTATGTTTTTTTATTAGTAACTTGAAATGTGAAACTTATTGTAAAGCAACAAGCTATAAAGATCGTAAAGACACATTGTATCGTCAACCAGAATGGCACAATGAAATGAATGATAACTTTGAATTTAAACAATCCAACAACATAGCACCTACTGATGTAACTCCTGTTCTTGTTTCTGGTGAAGAATTTGTAGGCTATCCTTCTAGGATATTGACACCCATGGTATGGGGTATGATACCTCCCTGGCATAAGGTATTTAACTAAATATAAAAATATTAGTAATCTTAAAAATCAATAAGCATTGTGCTGTAATATTGTATTTGTAAATTTATTTTTTAATATTAAATTGAGAAATCATTTTTAGGGAAATTTTAACAATCATGGATTAAGTACAAATAATTGCCGAATAGAAAGTGTAACAACTTCAAAACTGTACAGTGAACCACTGACTAAAGGAAGAAGATGTATAATAGTTTGTGAAGGTTTCTATGAATGGAAAACAACAGAAGGACCTGGAAAAAAAAAGCCATACTTTATATACATGCCCCAAAAAAATGGAGTTAGTATTAAATAGCAGTAACACCTTTTTTTTTTGTATTTAATCAAAAGTCAATCTCTAAATAAATAATGTACTCAAAAGTAAAGTAAAACTATTAATTGCAATAATTTACCTTAACCATAATACGATAGTAGAATAATAGTCAAATAAAATATAAATTATTAACTATTAACTGCAAGAATTATTTATTCAACCAAGGTATATAATTCAAATCTAAATTTTTCTTTCTCTCTATTCTATGTATATTTACTACAGGAATAAATCATAGCCAAAATAATTCATTAAATTAAGTTTAATGAGTATAACCTAATTATTTTTTTGATTCAAATTTAATCAATTTTTTCATGATTTATGCTGCTATACAATTTGATTAATATTTCGTGGTTTATACTCTATGCTTATGCTTTAAATATTCTAATTCAAATTATATACCCTTTATTTAATATAAATAACAAACACATCTTTAAATAAATGAAAATGTAATGTTCTAAAAAATATTTTTACCAAGGTTTCAGTGTATGATACAAATGCTTGGGAATCAGCTCAATGTTCAGAGCAATATGGTTGGTGTGGACCATCTCTACTACAATTAGCTGGTATTTACAATAAATGGAAGTCATCAAATGGAGATGTTTATAGCTATTCAGTTATCACAATGGAATCAAGCAAAACGTTTTCACAACTTCATCACAGAATTCCTGCAGTCTTAGAGAATGAACAACTTATAGAGGTTATTATTGATTCATGTAAATAAAGAAATAATTATTTTAATTTTGTTTAATAAATAATTACTATAATAATAATAATTAACTATTCAGGATTGGTTAGATACCAGAAGAGTGTCTGCAAGTCAAGCCATCTCTATGCTTCGTCCTACTGATAATCTGACCTGGCATGAAGTGTCAAATATAGTCAACAACTCACGTAACAAAAGTGAAGATTGCAATAAACCAATATCAAAAATGTATGTATATTTTTAGTCAGATAATTAAATTATTTGTATGATTTTAGTCTAAATTTATGTTTTATAATTTATATTATTATTTTTATTTTTTGTTTTCAATTTAATAATACAAATTTACATTAGTTAATATATTTGCTTAAATTACCAATTACAATACATCCATGTACCAGACAGGTCATAGTTATCAAGTTCTTTTGTATGTATTAGTTTAAATCATAGACCTCAGTATTAGTTCTATGGTTTAAATGTGATTTATAGTCTAATCTGAAATGGACTAATATTTCACAACCTATAAGTAGTAAAATTCTATGGATAAGTTACATTATTATTACAGTATTGTCATTTACACCAAGCAATCATCAACTTAAGTTGTTTATTTTAAAAATGTTATCAAAAAAGTAATTTTAGATTCATTTTTTATTTACAGAGTCAACAAAAGCAGCACATTTATGACATCTTGGTTGACAGGAAAAAATAAAAAAAGTGATAGTAATGATGAAGATCAAATGAGGAAAAAACCTAAAAATTAATTATTTGTTATCATAAAACTTTAATTAATGCAAACAACATAATATATTATCTAAGAATAATATTTTTAAAATAAAAGATTTAATATTTGATTCAAATTTTAAATAATTGCGTATGAGCATAGTGCAACAGTTATTTAATATTTTTGGCAATAATTACATTTCTACTACCCAATTATTACCATTGACCAAGTAATTTCAGATAAGCTCACAAAATCATATTTAATATTTTAGTTTTCGCCATATAACCAAGAATCACTGGACCTTGACCATGATACCACTTCTTTCTCCGAAAACCATAAAGCAATTTCTTTGTTGGCTGATTCTACAGCATCTGAACCGTGAATTATGTTGCTAATAATAATATTAAAATATTTTAAAATTATAATTTACAAAATTTGTTATAGATTTAAGAAATATTTACCGGCCAACTTGAATACATAAATCACCTCTAATTGTACCAGGATTTGAGTTTTTTGGGTCAGTTGCACCAAGAATAAAACGTCCAGTTTTAACAACATCCAATCCTTCCCAAACCTATGATAAAACAACATAATTTACTTTAATATTTTTTATCAAGTAAACAATATTGTGTTCAATAACCATTGGTACTACAGGTCCAGAAGACATATATTTGACAAGGCCAGGGAAAAATGGCCTGCTTGATAAATCAGCATAGTGTTTTGATAACAATTCTTCAGATGCCTGAAATAAATAATGACTAGTTAAATTTAAAATTAAATTAAATTCTTTATTATTTAAAAATATTAATTATAACCTTACACAATATGTTTTATGTTATATTTTTATTATTTTTCAGGAGAAAATACACAAAATTAATGATATTAATACAAAAAAAAAAAATTTAAGCAATTTGAAAGTTATTTTTAACTACCTCTGACTACTATTATTATTTTTATTCTTCATAAAAACTTATAGTATATTGCATTGCCAAAAAACTAAGCATGTATATAAAATAGTTTTAAAAAATATTAATTTAATATTATAAGTTTTAAATTTTTCATAATATTTGCAATTATATTATTCTAATTCTTGAATTTGAATTTAATAAAACTATTACTAAAACATTAACATTTAATGCACAATGTGTATAAGTAGTATAGTAGAACGTCAGTTATTCGCACCACTCTTAGACCCAGTTAACTTGAATAAGTAGCACTCTACTGTATTTGTGTAGAATTAAGTTTCAAATTTAGTTTCAAGTATTTAATATTCATTGTCTATTAAAAAGTAATTAATACTATTATTTTAAGAGCAAGAGTACTTACCCACATAAACTTCATTGCAACCAATTTGAATCCTTTTTCCTCAAAACGTTTGATTATCTTACCGACCAAACCGCGTTGAACACCATCCGGCTTGACCATGATGAATGTACGTTCTGAATAAGCATCTCCACTCATTTTTCTGGATAATTAATAAACACAATTTGCACAGACAAACAAACAAAATTAATTTTTTACTTAATTACTCTTATACTGATAAAATAGGTTGTTGCAAAAAACGTAATGGACGTATAAAAAAAACTTGATACTATTGTCTATTTTTATCATTATTATTATCATTACATGTAGGCGTTGGCTGTCCAAAGTCTCAAACAGCGCAACGCCACTGTTGTAGTGTAGATAATAATATTATATACGGATTAGGGAAATGTATTATATTTCTTAAAAAAAGTATATAGATATACGTCGTTAATTGTTTTGGCTTATAGATATGTGAACTAATCGTTAATGAGGTTTAATAAGGTATATTAACCAGAGTTGTACAAAATTTTATCTAGATAATAATTATTCATTATTATTTAATAATTTAATACTATTTATTATTGTTGTAATTATTACGAAATATTATTATTAATTATTAAATATTATTCATATTATAATATTGTTGAATTATTATTATAATTAAAATATGATTAAAAAAACTTATCTAATCTTTTATTTGTTTTATTTATAATATTTTTAGATTTATTCTTAATAAAATACGATTTACAATCGTGTAACTTAAAAATTTAAAATACAATGCCAGTTATTGTTTTTAAAATAATCAACCATGTTTATTCAAATAATGTTTTAAAATTATTCAAATAAAATATTAAAATATTATTTAGATAATCATCTAAATAAAATTTCATTCGAATAACGCCCTACTCTAGATATAACAGTTCTTTCAAAGTTAATATGAGAAGTAGACCACTAATTCTACGGAATATTAATTTTTTACAAAGTATAATATGATAAGGCCATTTTCACAATTTTAACCAAAAGCAAAATAATAGAAGTTAAATTTGCATTTTTAAATTATATTTTGTACTACTATTAAAGATACATTACACGGATATAAATGTTAATTTTAATTCGTGCTTCATAGTTCATAAAAAAAATTTTTTAACTTGTCGGCTTACTCATGAAACTTGTAAGCTGTAGATATAAATTATTGTTTATTTTTAGTTTACATTTAAAATAAAATAAAGTATAATTTAATTTAATGAAATATATTTGATTTGATTTCGGTTTAGATATTGTTGTTAATGACAAAAATATATAATGTGACGAAATTATAAATTATTAATTACTTCATAAATATTATATAGTAATTATTGAAATCATACTCGAGTATAAATAAAAACAGTTTACTGGATATTTGAAAAAAATAATTTTGAAATTAAAAAATAAATTTAGAACAATGAAGAATGTTTAGTTTCTGAGTTATAACTTATAAGTGCCTATTTAAAGTTAAGATAATAATCAAAGTAGTAAATCAACGTTTTCCTGGTTATTACCGTACTTCACACTCTGCTCGTCTATACTAAATACTTGACAGTTATAACTAACTAACTACTCATTCAAATTTAGATTTTTATGTATCAAAATACTCTAAAAAATATTCTGCTTCAGAATATGAAACTAAAAATGTATGTTTTCATTCAAAAAGTAAAATCTTAAAAAATTATAGCGATATAAACATTAAGATATTTTTAAATAATAAAGGTTATTTAACACATATGTGGGCAGTTGAAATTTTCGTAGGGGAAAAAACTACTTTCAAAAACGCATTTAAATACTATTAGTATAGCAGTAGTAAATTGGGTACTGCTATAGCAATACTGTCGCACTACATTGTCATTTACAACTACGTACATCACCGTACTGCTATTGCTGTAGCAGTATAAAATATAAATGTATAATTATTATTTTTTAAATAAAAATAATAATTCAATTCAACCTGGTTTATTTTGTAAAACAAAATATAATATAGCTATGTTATTACTTATTAGTAATGACTAATGATGATATTATCCAATACAGGTTCCATAGAAATACCCAAGAAAAAAGGACAATAAATAAAGCTAAAAATAACATATTATATTTAATATAGACAATACAGTGTCCAACGTTCTGAAGTGTTGCAGTGAGACATTAAAATATGCTCTTTCATATGAAACTATTGAAATTATTAATCCTAAAACAGTATTGTTTTTTTTTTTTTTTAACGATTTATATTCTATTGCTATTCAGTAGTAGTTGATGTTGTGTGTACATCAACTTTTTAAATTACTGCTATAGCAGTAGCTGTCCACGAATGAGTTTTTTTTTCAGAATCGCTCCTGTATAGATGTACTAAGAATTTTCATAAAATATTAAGTAAAAAAAAAAAAAAATTAAAGAAATTTAAAATCATATTTTCTGGTTGTGGCGTGATTTATACATTACTTTTTAAAAATCAAAATCAATTGGGATTCAGTTTACATTATTGAAGGGTACCGATAAATTATAATTTAAAAATTGGTGCCTAGTTCATACATAAAATTGTAGTTACATACATAATTAGTTTAAAAAAATGGCTTCCTAAATTTCCAATACTAGGTAAGTTGTACAACTTTTGCATCTACCACATTTGATTTCTGTACCAATGTACCATATATAATTTTTTAAATGGTCAATACGATAGGTTACACCTATACGTTACTGTTTATAACGACATTTACATAGTTTGTGCAACGGATTGAAAATAATATATTAATATGTCGAGGAGTAATACTCACCGAAAAAACAGAAGACTCGTACGTATATAAAACGTCGGACGATCGATGAGCAGCAGCGCAGTCGTCAGCGAGAAATTAACTCAGAACTAATGACTATTGAGTATTGACGAAATGACGACTACAATAGTAAAATGTGAATTGTGAGTGTCTGAGTAGACCAACGATTAATGGTAATGAGTCCTAATGAGTAATGACTAATGAATGACAAGAAAACGAAATGCACAAATGCCGAAACGAGAAAGCTCCCCCCCCCTACAGACTGGCTACGATAAACGAACCAATCAGCGAACACCGGTTATTGCATACAAAAAATAAAAAACGATCGTTATAGTCGGTAGTTCGGTACCTACTCGGTAGACGGTAATCCACCGGTGTTGCGAAAAGTCACGTTAAAAAAAATATGGTTTATGATTAGAAGTTTTTGACGGTTAGACTTAGAACCTTTGGTAGACACAATAATATGATACTAGACACCAGTGTAAAGTGTTCAATAATTAATAATAATTTAATGACAATAATATGATAACACGAGTGAGCAAGTGACGTAATGCGCAGACTTTATTCACGAGTATATTATAATATTGTCGTTATCATAGTTTGAGACTTGTCATGGGTTCCTTCCACTCTAATAACGATCTATATTAAATATTAATATATCTTTTTTTTTTCTTCAATAAATGGAGTTCATTGAGAACTTACAACTTACAAGTGCACTTAAATATATTTACTGCGTATTCAACTGAGTAATCACACGAGAACTTTATTTCGTCATTATTGCAGAATAAAACTTTTCGAAATTCATTTAAGTTATTTGAAATTTTGGAAACTATAAGCGTAACAAATATTCCTATTACTTCATCATCATCATTGTTGTATTTATTTCTTTAATATAAGGTTAAAGTTGATCCGTATGCAATATCAGTTTTTATAAAGATTTTAAAATTACTTTTTTAACTTTCCTTGTCTTTATTAAACTTAGATGTGTCGATTTTAAAGTTAACATTATTTTGTCCCCGAGTTGCATATAAGCATTCTGGGGTCTGTTTCGGCACTTGTGTTCAACTACGCAATTTCATTGCTCAATTTTAAATTCCCGTCAAGTTAATTATCTCACAGATATAATTTTAGTTGTCACAGACAATAGTGTTCTTAACTCTCAAGATGTCAAATACATTATAAATAAAGGACCAAGCATAGAAAAGATATTGTCATTATACCCATTAATGTCAAGCGTACTAACATCGCAGACATTAAATAATGTACAAAGATTGTATTTGTTCTATTCAAGGAAGTATTAAACAATAAAAATTAATAAAAATTATTTAAATGCATATAAAGAAATTTATTTTTATAGGCTATAGGAAGGGAAATATATTGTAATAATGTATTTACATAGCTTTTATTTTCAAAAAATGTCATTCTTACTTTAGAATATAAGTGTATATAATATTGGTGTTCGCACCACTATTATAATAAAGTATATCATTATTTATTATTGTATAATGATATATAGAAGCCCAGAAATTTAGTATCTATATTCTATACTATGTACACAGAATAGGTACTTAAATAGTTACAATTTCTTTATTGTTTATAAGTTTGTTACTTAAAGAAAACGAATTATTTAATTTATTTTTTGTTTTCAATTTGCGTCTTGTAAATTTAAATAAAGAAGATACAGCAATGCCCATTTGTAGTGGTGTAATATATATATTACTTTATACAACTATACTTATACAAAATAACAAAGAAAGTAGTTTTAATTTTCCATAAATTATTAATTTATACCTGCAATCATTATTTCTATTTTTGAGCAATATAAAAAAAAAAAATGTTATATCTTTATCAAATTTAAATTATATTTAGTCACGTACTTAGAATTAATCCATGTATAATGCATATGTAATTTTATAAAACGGATTTTTTTTTCAGATTTACACAAAGTTAATAATAATAGGTATTTTATGTTTAATATTGTAATGATTGATAAGAAAATTAAAATAATAATTACAATAGAGGGTAAACTAGACAGTATAATTATATTTATATATATATTTATTATGTATACATAATAAATCAGCATTTAACGAATGTTCAAAATTTGTATGTAGGTATAAGTTAACTTATTATTTATTAAATATTAAACTAATAATTTTATCAATAATCTACATAATAAATATAATGTTTAAACATTTATTTATCTATAGCTAAAGGTATCTTCATTTTAATGATTTTAATGTCCAAAATAAAAATAAATATTTATAACAGTTGTTGAGTAGTTTTTGTAGAATATTTTTATAGCTTAACTTAAAGTCAAATGGTCCAATGTACCTATATTCAATAAAAATATCTAACACTTTGATTCAAAAATATTTATATTTAATATTATATTATTGGAAGTACAATAATAATATGTAAGTAGATACTTTTCAGTTGTTATTACTATATTATATTTAAGTTAATTCAAATGCTAATCCGATGTTTATCCAAAACCAACAATAAATGAGGAAGATCAAAAATACTCAAAGTAATGCTAAGATTGACATAAAAATAAAATTAACAACAAAGGATACAAAAAAAAAAAAAAAAGATAAGTTTGTAAAAGTAAGTAAGATAATAATTTATAATTAATAAGTATGTATCATAAACAGGTACCTACTACATTAAAATTAATTATATTTAAGATATTGTGTGATTTAAAATAAATAATATTGAAGTTAAATTTATAAAATGCAATTTTATATAAAAATGGTTTTGTCATTATAAATAAAGATAAAGGAACCCACATGTAGACCTGTCATGTCTCTGATACCCAAATATGTTAATCTTCACTTCTATGCAATATTATGATTTAAGACAATTATTTAGAAATAATAAAAATCAATACATATAATAATCAACTTGTTTTATTGAAACTTTACATTTACAAAATGAATATTACAAGTATACATGTTAGTATACAAGTATACAAACACGCATAGGTTTATAAATCACACACAATAATATGTCAACCAAACAGACTTATTAAAAGATTAACATTATAGTAAAAAAAAAAAAAATTTAATAATAATAGCAATCGAACAATGATTCATCTTTCTAATATTCATGATGGAAAACACATTAAATAAATGGCACTTACTAATATTAGGTAAATTTATAAAAACTAATAAAAAATAGTATTTTTATTCTAATCACAAGCAGACATAAAGATCAAATGTGTTAAAATTCATACCCAGTATGTGTGTAGCCGATGGCAAGTATTGTTTCTGTATGTTTAATCTAACAACTACAACTATAAGTTATAATGATACATGGAAAATTAAGAGATCTAAAAAAAAAAAGTTATACAATCAAGGTTTAAGTTATATTAAATAAGTACACCAGGTCAGTTTAAAAATCTCCATGTATCAACCTATAGGTACCTAAAGTTTGAATAGGTCACAACATAAAACTAATGCATAGCTGGTAATTAAATATGCCCATTCATATACACATAATATGTTCGGTAAAAGTCTATATTAAAATTTATATTTAAACAAAAATATTGCCATAGTTAATAGTAATTACAATGAAAAAATATATAGTTTATAGTTTTCTTAAAACTAACATGTATGCAAATAATACAATAAACATATTTATATGTTTCGAATAATTTCGATTAAAACATATTTACATTAATTAAATAAATATCACAGCCTTTAAAAAATATATTTATACATATATTTGTTTGCCCATATATATCTTAAAGGCAATCGGTTTTCATTTGGGAGTAAATATGATTTTGATTTATTTTTAAGTACATTAACTCTGAGGAAAACGGTTCCTTTGTTTGATCCGTTTTGCTATGTTGTATTATGGGCAAACTACACAGTCATATTACACAATAAAATTGTTGTATACGCTAACGATAACAAGGACCTTACAATTAGTATAAAATATTTCTTTACAGTTATCAAAATGATAATGATAATAAAAATAATAATAAAATGTACAGTCGGAATAGAAAATGGCACGGCGTTATACAAATAAATAGTTTTAAAAATAAAAATATAAATAAAACAATATTATTTACACAATACACATCTTATGATAATATATCGGATAAATTTTAAAAAAAAACTTGTCGTTTCATGTGTCATTTCATAGTAATTGTTTTAATAATTCTTAAAAACGAGTTAACAGAACAAAACTTAAACGTCTACAAAATAGTTTGACGGCACCGAGTGTGGATGGGGTTTGGTAGCCGTTCGTCAAACGGTTGTTTCGTTTCGTCTGAGTGGTTGAAGCTCTCTTTGCAGCCGATCAAAGTCGTTGTAGTACTCGTGGTCCGATTCGTCCTCCAGACTACGGCCATTAGGAGTGGGCGCAGGCGACTGAGGTTCGCAAGATACCTCAACAGAACCACTACCGTCACCGGAGACTGTAGAAGGTACCGTGGTGGAAGGTTCACCACCGGTCAAATGATATTCCGGGTTGTCCACGCTGCTCACTTGGCCTGGCAAGAAGTCGGGTTGGTAGTTTTTGGTCAGACCTGGAGGTCTTGGTAGGCTCCCGTTAGCGTATTCTGCTGCAAACGTAATAATATTTATTATAAATAAATAAATCACCATTCAGATGTAAAGAATTATTATCAGAACGACACAAGATCAAGTTAAGTACATGGAAAAAATTTTATATTTCGTAAGACTAGGACAGCTGAATAATTCTAAGGTTTAGTGGTTTACGAATTTTCATTAAAATGTTCACACGATTGTTTGATTACAAAGGTATAATAATATATATCTACCATAACTTCTTTTTTCAATTCAATTTCTTTCAATTTTATCTCGTTTAATATGAGATATTAAGGATAAAGATGATTTACCTTCTGCGTGTTGATGACCAATCAAATCGATATAGTTGGCAGGCGCGTGTCGACGTTTGTTGTCGATTTCGTCATTGGCCGGGGACGGCATTAGGTAATCGTCCTCGTCCAAGGGCAAGTCTAATTTCAACGTGCCTACTTGTGCCTTGCTTCTAATACTGAGATCGTCGGAAGTATCACAATCTATCAAGAAAAAACACAATCGAGAGTTAATATTGCTATTTTATTTTTAAATACTATGTTTACGATATTGCGAATGAAAAAACAATCATCTGGTACCTATATAATCGTAATTAAAATAGGTTATTAC